GTGATAAATATAATGATATAAAAATAATCCTTACTATTGGATGAGGATCTGTACCTAACATTTTTTCACGAATTGCCCATCTTACATTTGCATGTTTTGCTTCTCCAGGAAATGACATTTGTTTCCATTCTTGTTGATATTTTTGATATAATATAACAGGATCAGTCTTTCCAACATATTTACTTTTTTGAGCTTCTGGTTGTAATCTCCATGGTCTAATAACTATATTAAACAAGATATAAAATTTTATTTATACATATAACATGATACATGTTAGAATCTTACATGATTTTGTTCCAGAATGAGTGTTTTTTGTAGATGATGTACTTTTTGTTTGACTACTTGTAACATATTTGTAATGTTGGTGCTCTAAAATATTTGGTGCACTCGTAGGACGAAAAGATTGTTGGGATAATAATTTTTTTTGATTTAATATTTTATCATGTTGCATATTTGTTTTATCATGTGTTTCTATATGAAAATCTTTTTTTAAACATTCTTCGTAACTACTTTTATTTTTTACATAAAATCTATCATCATCATTATCCGATACAATGTCAGATTTAACATTAGAATGATTTTGTGTTTTCATAGATTTTGATTGTATAATATCCATTTTGTGTTTTGTATTTGCATAATTTTCTTTGAAATTTATAGAATTTCTATTTTCTTTATCACACGACAACTTTGTCAACTTTACCTTTACAATGGTGTCATCAATATAAGAACTAGAAGAATTAGTTGATACAGTATTTTCAACTGAATGAAACTCTGTTTTTTGTTCTCTAAGAATTTCTTTAATCATATTTTTTTGCTTATTTATTATTTTTTTTTTAATTTCTTCTTTTTTTTGTTGTCTTTCACGGTCTTTTATCTTCCTATATAACTTTAAATCTTAATAAAAAAAAAATATAAATCAAAACATATATATTAGATACAGTATTTATAAAATATTTAAATATCAATGATTGATAAAAAAAAATATTAATAATTATTACCTTTCATAAATGCTTTAAGTTGTTGAGCGGTAATTCCAACAAATCCTAAAGAATTAAGAAGAACAAGTACTTCTCGAGGATCGTCATTCATTATTAATTATTTTTGAGTTTAAGAATAAACAATAAACAATAAACGTCAGTAGAAAATTGTCACTGATTGTTCTGTACACACTATTTAAATGATAAAAACGTTAAAGATGATACTTCTATTAGTCATAAATTAGCAATAATCATTTAGATGGTTATGCGAACTTTTCATTAAAAAAGAAATTGAATCAAAATATTAAAAATTAATTTTATTATTTATATATTTTAATTTTATTAATAATAAATAAAAATATATATGTATAAATTTTAGTGCACCTATTATTTATTATATACAATATTTTATAAAATAAAAATATTAAGTAAGTATGCTTTCTATAGAGTAAACATACTTGATAGAAATTTTCAACTGGAACTTAACAGAAGTTCAACTGCCATCTCTTGGAAAGATTATCAATTAAGAAGACCGTTTTAAAAAATTCAAAAAATAATTAAAAAGTATTATAATGAAATATGAAATAAAAAAAATTTCAATAAAAGATATGTTTACACATAAATCTTTATAAATATTTTAAATAAATTAATAGTATGTTAGTATTTTTCTTTTAAATATAAATTTATTTTAATAATATAATAATAAACAAAATAATCGGTATCTGCGCAGAAAGTTCATCTCCGCTTGATTAAGTTTAACGAAGCATGTTTAATTGTTCATCAGTCTGAAAACTAATCTTTATAGAAAATGTCGTCAGTTACATATAGCGTTTTATTTTTTATTATTACATTAATAAAAATCCCCATTTCAGGTAACAACATTTTTAAATTTTATATTATTAAATACAATATGAATTTAAAAACTATTATTCAATATATAAATAAATTCAAATAGTATTAATTATGATTGCTTTTTAGATATATGTGCTTCAAAAATTTATACTTTAGACGTTCCACTCGTTGTCCGTAATGGAACGGGACCAATTGACCTTTCCTGTATTTATAATATCAAAGATAAAGAAAACGGTCTCATAATAAAATGGTATCATAATATTGACCAAATTTATCAATGGATACCACCAAGTAATTTTAAATATAATTTTTTGAATTGTGTAATTCTATACAATATATGACATATTTTTTTTTTTTTATTATAGTGCCACCTCAAGATACAGGAGTAATAAATGGATTTACCGAATATTCTGAACAAAGTTTAAGATATTTTAATTCAAGATCTATCATACATTTAAAAATGGCTATTGTTGAAATGAGTGGACAATATACTTGTACAATTAGCACATTTCAAGAAGAAGATATGAAAAGAACAAAAATGATTGTTTATGGTAAGTTTATAATTATAAATATTATAATAATTATAATAATATTTGATTAATTTGTATCATAATAATGCAAAATTATTGATATCATATTACAGTGCCTGAAACTGATATAACTATTCATGTTTCTTCTTTCAATAAAAATCATTTAAATTTAACATGTATAGCAAACGGAGCACAGCCACGGCCAATATTAAAAATTTATATAGAAGGAATTGAAGTAAATAATTATTATGATAAAACTGTAAAAATATTGGAATATAAGACTATTCTTTCTGCAAAACGCAGTGCAATCATAAAAAATTCTCTAGAACCATTACTTTTGGAATGTGAAATTTCTATACCACATACGGATTATAAGCGCAGAAAAAAAATCATTTATTATCCCAGTTTGAATCGTTTCAATAAAAATATAAATTAAAGAAAAAGATGAATATAGATTTGTAATTATTTTTTTTATTTTCAGCACAAATGCTATCACGAACCAATATTGCATCAAACTATCGAATTGATAGTATTATTATTATTTTCTATATAGTGTTATTATTAAAATAAATAAATACATGTCGGAAATTTAACAAAAATATAAAGAAAAGCTCGCAATTATATATATTAAACTGAATGTATATTTATATTATTAAATCTTATATTATAATATATATGTATTATGTACTGAATATAAATTAACTAATTTTGATAAATCTGTACCAATATATAATGAATTAAAGAATTCTAATTATAGCAACATTTCGAATCAGAAATCTTTTTAAAATAAATATCATATTAAAGTAGAAAATGTAATTGAATATGAATTAAGAATTAAGAAGAAAACAGGATTTGATGAGGAGATGTATCTTCAACCAGCGATTCGCAGCAAGATTATTATTTACTGTTCAGTGTTCATCAATAAAAGAATTTGTAAGTTGACATCTTTAAAACTAGATCTTTAAATTGTATTATATAAATCTAAAATTCTTTTTATATTTTTTAATATAATACAAATTTTAAGTGTTATACATGTATTATTTTATTATAATTTTTTTTAAATTTAACTATATTAAAAATTCCATTTTTGTTTATGAAATTAATTTTGTATATATATTCTTTGTTATTTAACAATGAAATATCAAATTAGAAAATGAATTGCGCTATTATAATGTTCTTATATATAAGTAAAATTTTAATTTTTATAACAATAAATAAATTTTAATATTTATTACAAATATAAATATTTTAATGTTCCGAACATTTGAAATAATTACTTTTTCAAAAAATTATAAAATAGACATAATTAAAATTAAAAATTGAATTAGAAAATAATTGCATTTATTATTGATTATGTTGACAAATAAAAAATCGAAAAAAGGAATTTAACAATTTTTCTTTAAAAAAAAAGAGTTCAAAATAACTACTAAATATAAATAAAAAAAAAAAAGTTTTAGTCGAAGTATGCATTATCTTGCATTCGATGTAAATGCAATAACTTATAATTATTTTTATTTATTTTTGATATTCGATAAATATAAGCGATAAATATATTATTCATGACATCATAATGAATTTTTCATACTCATTTTTGAGTAAAAATTTTTAATAATGTTTTAAATAGACTTAAATATCTTTTAATAAATTATTTTAATTCGATTAAAATATAAAAATTAGAAAAATTGGAAAATAAATATATATTTCTTATATCTGTAGTATACATATTATGGATCTTTGGAAAAACTTTATCCTGTGACCAATGTGTCAATATATGTGGAACTCAACAATTTCCTTGTTGCTTTAATAATATGAAGAAAAAACAATTTGGATTTCGAATTAAAAGTCAGGATGAAATCGCGCCGATACACAATATAGTTGTATCTGAATATCAATATACAATACTTAATATACTAATTATTGAATATATATTTTGTTATTTATATTAATATTATTGTCATTAATATTATTTTGTCATTTTATATATATTTTATTATAATATACTATATTAAATAATATATGTATATATATATATAAGTAAATATATGTATATATTATATGCTATATAGTCGAGCATTATTTTTAAATATTTGTAATTATAAATATTTTAATTTTGCAATATATACGGAAGACATTTCGTCAATAAACGAAGATATGAAGATTAATTTTATTTTTTTAAATAGAATTATAATTTTTTTAATATAAATAAATATAACAAATTATTCTTTATAAAAAAAACTATTAATCACATAGAACCAAAAATTATTAGTTTTACTATTATTAAATATATAGAACTAAAAACTATTATTATTAAATATCTTGTAAACTAATAATAATCATTTAAAAAATAAAGTTGATTTCATAAGTCTTTTATGTGTTCTCATTCGAAAAAATCATTGACATCAGAATATGATTCTAAAATTATTTGACTTTTATCTAAAATTTTTCTCTATGAATGATAATTCTGATATAAAGATAATAATATTAGATGATCATATTTATATTATCTTTCTTAGATATTATATTAATAAAACTATACAAAAGATATATAAAAGAGAATAAGAATTTAAAAAAGACAAATATATAATAAAACATTTAAAAAAATATATAAATGTATATTCTATATATATTTTTTGCAAATTATCTAATTTATATATATAATAAGATTAAGATATGTGTATACAAATTAATACATATATATTAATATAATATATATATGTCTTATAAAAAAATGCAAGTAATCAGTATAATATATATGATGTTTTATTCAAATTTATTTATTATACTTACGTTTATTTACTTCTTCCCATGGTTTCATGAATGGCATTCTTTGGAATAATATATATACTGTAATATATATATATATTTGTGACTCTATCGTTTTCTATCATTTGTGATATCAAGACAATAAATTTGATTCTTTTTTGTTTGTAAGTTATGAACAAATTTAATTAATAGAGATATTTTAATAGTAGAAAAAAAATAAAAATAAAAAATTTATAAAAATATTTTACAAGTTTTATAATCTAATTTCTTCAACATAACTTAATCTTTAAAATTAATTGTAATTATTTCAATATCAATTAGAAAAATATTACAATATTACGAAATACAATACAATAAATGTATTCAATATTTTAAATATAATGCTTTTTGTCATTATTTTCCGAAACTATTAGAGAAGTAAAGAATTAAATAAAATATTTTTAATCAAAAATATAATATTTATTTTTATATTTTTCTTTTAATCTAATTTTTATACAGATTGAATTTATTTATACAATCCACTTTTTTATGCGTTTCAATATTTTTTTAAATAAATAGATTTGTTTTGTTTCATTAGAACAAACATCTATTTTATCTAGTAATTTTTTGCTTTTATTTCTAATCATATTCCATCGTAATTTATCCAAACCAGGATATGATTCTTTGTTTAAAAGTACAATTAAATCTGATTTATTATTAACATCATGAAAAGTAAGTAATTTTTTTAAACTTTTTTTTTTTGTCAAATTTTTTAATTCTATTTTAGTATTTTTATCTTTTTCTCTGATTATAAATTCGTTTTCTGTATTCCTGATATAAAATTCTTGATTATTCTCATCATATATTTTGTTTTCTTCTGTTTTACTGAATTTTTCGTTTTCTTTTTTAGTATTCATTGATGTACTTTGAATACATCTTAAATTAAAATCATGGCGATCTATAATTTCTATAAAACAAAATAAGTTATAGTAAGTTATAATTATATTTTTGTATGTAAATATTTTTATTATTATAATTGTTGGCTTATAATTTTATTACCTCCTGTATCATCATTAAAAATAATATTTTTGTTTTCATTTGTAATTAAATTATGTACAATATTTTCATTTTTTGTCAATGAAAATATATTTTCAGATTTTATTTTTTTGTTATAATCTTGCATATTATAAGTTAGATCTTCATCTGAATCATATTCACCAGGAGTGATTAATTTAAACATTGTAGTTTTTAATCCATAATCATTGGGAATACTGTGGAAATATAAATTAATTTTTATATAGATTTATTATACTAATTTTTTTTTTTTTTTT